TGAACTCTGCTTTCCGTAGTCATGCTATCTCATGAAGGTTTTGATATATTGCTTACTGCAATAGAATATGTAACAACTGAGGATTGGATGACATAATTATCAGAAAAGAAAAGAGAAAAAAATCATCTGTATTGTTTTATAGTAGTAGGAGGCCTCATTCCAGCTTCATTTGTCACAACTGCAGAAGAGAGTGCCATTGGTCTTTTAAGCCACATCAAGAGCTCTTTACATAAGGATTGAATGTTTGATTAGAGAGTGTGCTACCATTATCTCATAAGATAAATGGATACTTACTACTACTACTAGTAGTAGTAGTAGTCATCCATTATTATTAGTAGTAGTAGTAGTTAGCATTCTTAATTCAAGGAAAGATGACACAGTTTTTAGAAACTCCAAAAAATTAAAATATTTCAAGTTTAATTGGAAAAAAAACCCCATAAATATTGCTTAAAAGTAATATAATAATTTAATATAATTCACAATTTTGTTTGAAAAATATCTAAATCATATACTACATTTAAATACATTTATCCCTTTCAAATTCTGCATATTTTATTAATATAACACTTTATCTGCTTTGCAGCGAAAAACATTTCATATCCCTTCTTGGTAATAATAAAAAAAAACATTATTTACCATCTCTTTTAAATTCTTTATCATCTGCCAAATATGACATTTTTGTGCTTTGTTAAATCTCCTGGCTCACTACAATAAAAGAAATTTTGAAAATATATAATAATATGTTTTTAAAAACAAATTTAACAAAATTAGTTTGGCTATCAAGAAGAAAGAAATGTGAACTAATGAGAAATATTTTCAATAAGTTTTTGGCAATCTTTAACCTTTGTACCCACAAATAAAAATGGTGCTTGAAAAAGGATAGTTTTTCCCTTGACACTGCTATTATTTTAACTACCTTCACTCTTTGACAATGTTTATTACTTTAAAAAGTGATGATTAGAATTGTAATAAAATCTAAACATATAAAAGTGAATGTATACATTTTCTTTGTTCTTGAGAATGGACAAAAATAATAAACAGTATTTTTTATTAGATTATTTATTTATTTACACTATTAAATTGTTTATTAGAATAGTTAGCAAAACATCAGCTAATTGCAGGTCAATTCAAACTTCTTAAAATGATAAATAAGGATTTCCTTATAGTTGGTTCATATATTTTAATAATTTAGTAAATAAAAAAAAATTGTTTTCATATTTATTTCTTTATAAATTGGTAAATGATAAATATTGCATTAGTTTTAATACAATTGTATTAGTATTTACAATGTTGTAAATATAAAATTATTGTTGTAAATAAACAATCGAATAAAAAATAGTGTTTCACATTTTTGTTGTAAATTCTCATGAACAAGAAAAGAAAGTATAAATTCACTTTCATGCTATGTTTACATTTTATTACAATTCTACTCATCACTTTTTAAACCAATAAAAATTGCCAAGGATTAAATTAATATTGGTGTCAAAAGAAAAAAAACCATCATTCTGACTTTTTTTTTTTTTTTTTTTTTTTTTTGGCATGAAGGTTAAAAAGTGTCATCTTTTTTATGAAATTCTAAAAAGCTGAAGTATTAAATCTAACCTGCTATAATAATAATAATGTTAGATTTACAAATTTACAATATCATTAAAAAAAATGTATTTTTTAAATGTTCACTTAATACAAGGCCCAAGAACCACTCAAGATAGAGGGTTACTAAATGTGGTTGTTGAATGGATGTAGGAGGGGGAAGGTAGTTAATGGCTGACCCTAGACATGAACAGGTTGTCGCTTTCATGGCATCATCCTGTAAGTAACAGTTCTTGGGATGAAGCTGTCAAAATGGAATTTCATTCTTACCAAAGGAATAAGTTTGCCCCATAATAAATTTACAAATTCCTATTTGCAAATTTAATGAAACCAGTAAGGATCATGATTACACAGTCTAATTTAACCCTTTATCATTCAGCATGTTTAAACTCATCCTCTAAATATGAATTCTCAATGTTCAAGCCACCATAACCTACACCTGGGCTATTAGCTCTGCTGTGGCAGAGCTAATAGCCCAGGAATTCAAGTAAACAGTGAGACTTTGACCATGTACTATATCCACTATCTCTTCTTTGTTCGATTAGAGAAAGAAATACAATTCAAGCCTCAGAATGAAATAGAATCCAGTGATTTTGAGCATTTATTTAAAAGATATATAACCCAGGTTATTCTAGAATCTGAGGGGAAAAATGAAAAAAACTACAAGAAATGCAAAATGAATTCAATATCTACATTTTTGACATTACGTCATCAGTCTTAGAAACCTGTAAGTTTCGGAACATTCTACCCAGAGGTTACCATAGAGCTTCATATTCAGAAAACCAATTCCACTTTCTTGTAATTCTCTCATTTTATGTGAATGCATAGGGAAATATATGTGTGTATGTGTGTTAGCACTTTTTAATACTACTGTCTCCTAATTTTTAAAGTTAAAAGCTCTACATGTTATTTACTTATTTTTTTTTTTACACATATGTATTGAGCACTTTTTAATACGACTGTTCCTGGATCCAATTCAACACTGGCTATTAACCTTTTATGCATTTATATATATATATATATATATATATATATATATATATATATGTGTGTGTGTGTGTGTTGTAGGCAGAGTTGCAGTAATGGGTAGCACCTCGGATGGAAGAATTGGAGAGCCAAGTTCAAATTCCAGTCAATTTCATTACATCCAATTATGTGCTAATACTCTTGGGAAAGATGATACGAATCTATCTCTACTCCCCCAGCTATGGGTAAATAGCAGAATTGACTAGATTCTATAACCTTGGATGACCACCATTCTAGAAGAAGGACAACTCGGAAGGACCTGCATAGATGCAAAGTTTTCTGTGAAAACATCATTAGAAAAAATCTGCCACACATAAACATTGGAACTATAACAAAGGCTATCTTGCCAGACTAATGAAAATTAGTGTTGCTTTTCGTATTACCCAAGCCCCTGTTTTTCAGACACCAGTGCCACTTCATAAACTGTATCAGCAAAGGATGATTTTCTTTTTTTTATTTGCTTTATCATATGAGAAGAACAATTGTGTTAGCAATGCTTCTCAGAGGAAACAAGAGGTAGATGTTGAGGGTAACGTATGCTGACTCTTTGTCTTAGTATTCAACCATCTGCTGACCAATCTCTCTAAGGAATTGGAATCTAGGAATTATTATCAAAATTATCTTCAAAATTCTTGTAGACATCTGCTGTCTTCAAACCATTTTGGTCTCATATCCAAAACTTAAAAAAGGCCATCCATCACTGTCAGATTTCCATACCCACAGGGTTTTCTGACCAGTAGTTTGCTATCCTCGGCCAATCTCCACATTCTGCAACATTGGGTATTTGATTTCTATAGAAATCAATAAATCCACATCTCATTACCTTTTATTTTATATATATTCTTCAGTGACTTATCATTCTGTATCTCAATCATTTTTTTTTTCTTGAAATGTAGTGTCTGTTTGAATTAAGCATTGTAGGAATGGCAGATTTAACTAACTTGGAGAAACAATTTCCTTCGAATAACAAAATTCTACGATTTGCCTCAATTGTATTTATAAATGACACACAAGGACATATGTAGTGTCATAAATCGGTTGCATGTGAGTTAAACCAAAAGAATTGTCAAACTATTTTGAAGAAATATTTTTCTGGTATAATGCCAAAAATGTTGTAAAGCTAAAGATTTTTCTCTTTGAATCAATAATGATAATAATAATAATAATAATAAGGATGAGTGAGGTGAAGGAGGGTAGAAAAAGAATAATTGTTTCTTGAAGTTGAATGTTTAATATAATGAATTTTACAAAAATATCGACCAACTTCACTGGTTAACAAAACATTCACATTAATATACAGATATATATTGTGTGCAGTTTCATCTTCTACGTATTTTTTTTATTTCTTTGTTTTTTCTATAAGAGTCTTCTAATCTTGTAATGTTGAGAGTTTGACCATACTACAAATTCTTTCTTTTTTAAAATTAGAAAGTCTCTTCAAAAATGATGAAATCCTTCTACTATACAGGTTTAGATCTAACTCACTAAGTTTTGATTGATGTATCCATGTCAGAGGTCAATGTAATTGTGTTTACTGAAGTGTGTGCTAGAGGAGAATGATTGTGAGAGACGGGCTTAGGAGTAAAATGATCAGTGTCTGTTGTTCTGTGGTAGGTGTCAGTAATATAATGTAATTTCCTTCAGATATTAAATGTTGCTTATTGTAATCTTCCTATATTTGATTTCAGAAATATATTCAGTATCTCTTTTCCATCATCTTCTATGTGCCATGTCCCTTTGGGGTATTTGTGATCATGGATCTACACAATTTCCTGACTTTTTAGCTCGTAATAAATATTTCTTTTATCTCTCTTAAACCTTGTTCCGCCATCTATTTACTCAAACTCACTAGGTAGGTTATGCATTATTTTCCTCTGTTCCACTTGCCTTCTATCTTTCTTGTGAGTATCAAATTTTCCAAGCCCTCTTACCTCATTACCTCTAGAAATTTCAACTATCTTTCTAATGATAAGTGTTCTTTTTGTTTCCATTTTCCCTAAAACTTCATCATTGCTCACATGTTATGTGCATGGTATTTGCAACATCCTTTTGTAGAAATACATTTTCTGTTGTTTTAAGTTTCTTCTTCATCTTTGATTGTCTACTATCAACTGCCATCTAGGAGAACTGATATTACATAACAATTCAGTACTCTTTTCCTAGTTTCTAATACTTTTTTTTCTGTTTCTTAATACTTTGCTTAGCTTTTGGAAATCATTTTTCATTATCCTAATGTGCTTTTGGTTTTCAGTGTCACCCTTTCTGTCCCCTGTTAAAACACTTTCCAGGTATTTAATTTGTTAGTATCTCCAATATGTTGGGCTGTTCCTTTTGTTAAACAAACTCCTAATTCTCTTGTATGTCTGCCACTTCTTCTTTTACAGTCTTTATCATCTGTAACTTTTATAAAATATGGTGTCCAGTTTGATGAGAAATCGTCTTCCCTGATTCTTCCTTGGTACAATCAGCATCATTTGGTGTCTATGAAGGTCTTTAACTTTGCAGATGTTGGTCCTGATCAGGAGAAGAAACTCAAAGAGTCAATTATGCCAAGGTAAGGCTTATACCACAGTCAGGTGTGAATATTTTCTTAATGCAGTGCTTAATTGGTATTTTGTTTGTTGCTGGAATGAAACATTTTCATGATACTACTCTTTGAAGACTAGTGTCTTAATCTTTGTTGTTTTGAGTACATTTTAGCTAATGCATAGCTCTGTGGCCTAATTAAGAGAAAAATCATTTCTTTTACATAACAAATATTCCTTTTCAGATGTAGTCACCTTCTTTGTCAATTTGAATAGTGAATGTTAATTGCATAAATCAAGCAATATACAGTGAAAATGTCATTTCAAAATTCAGCTAATATGTGTCAGGCTTTGGGATTACTGATACAGCCTTGCATGTTCTTCCACATTCCTCAAGAGTTTGGATTTCTAATTAGTAAAATGGAAAGATGATCCTTAAATTTGCCTCAATTTTTGTTTGGCACTGTGGATCCTCTGTCACTTTCTTGGCCAAGCAAGCATGTTCTCATCTTTTAAAAGGTATGTCAGCAGAAAAAATACTCACCTCTTGCCAAGGTAGTGTTTTTTTTTTTTTTTTTTTTTTTGGTCATCCCATATGTGGAAAGGGATGCCTCTAATGCTAATCAAGTCAGTAATCACTATCTAAAGTCCCTCTTCCCAAGTTATGGCCAGTTGGAGACTATTAGCCACATAAAACAGTCAAGTTAAGAGAAGCCTACTCATTAATAAAAGTAAGCAACCCACAGTTTGGCAATTGCCTGAGCACTATAGCTAAGGAAAAACATCAAGCTTAAAAATTTAACTCTGTGGGGCAGCTTCCATATTATGTGGCCGTGGAAAGTAGATCATTACTTAAATATTTGAAAAAACATCCAAAAAAAAAAAAGAAAATTGAATAGAGATTACTAGGGAGAAGTCAGAATAATGTAAATACTTTTATTTTATCAAGAGAAAATACTAACATGTTATAGAACATTGTGAAAGGCTGTGCTTTCCCACATGTCAGGAATGCATCTTTTCTTCATGATGTCTATCAAAAGACAGTTTTCTCTGTGAAGACAGATTTTCAAAGATAGAAAGTATGATCCTTATTACAAAATTTGATAGAAACAAAAATTAAAAAAAAAACACTGAAATAGCACAAAATTAGTAATAAAGTTTGAATTGTTAAACAATTTAAGACTTGTAAATTTCTGTTTGCATCTCATTGGACATCATGTACCCATAACCCAGAGCTAGAATAACTTAAACACGGGAAATATTTACTTTATGTTCTAATTGTTTGAGAATGTTGCTGCTAATTTAACAGCTAAAAAAGAATAGATCTTTAGCAGAAAGGAATTAACTAAGTAATTTATTAAATAAATGATCAAGTCAGATAAATACATTTTTAATTACTCCTCTACTCTTGACATGAATCAATTATTAAGAAAAATTATTCATTATTAAATATATGTCATTTACTGATAAATAAATGGACCTTTCTAATCAATAAAGAGTTTTTACAAAGGATATTGTCTGAATTCTGCCAAACCCTTTATTTCAGATCACCTCCTGCTGGTCTTTTTGGTTGGGCTGCTGCTTCAGCCACTGATACAGAAGTTATCCTGACAAACTCAGAAACTGATGCTATGGCTGTTTATCAAGCCACTCGTATTTTAGCACTGGCTTTACCCAAAAAAGGAACTGTCTTACCAATTGAGGTAAGTTAACTTTTAAGTTCTCATTATTCCAAAGAGTGTTTGGAGAATTTGACACTCACAAGATAGTGTAGGCAAGACAGAGGGAAAAATCAAGTAACCTACCAAATAAGTTTGTGTAAATGGGTGGTAAAACAGGGAGTGAATGGACAGTTAGGGGAGCATTGTTTGGAGTTAAAAAGGATAGGAAGTGGTGGAGAACAGTGATTGTCCACATTTTTAATGGACATGGTACATAAAAGGAGGGATGAGAGGTTTAATGGTTATCCCATGGATGGTAAAGTTGGTCGACTAATTTCAAATTGCCTCTGAGATTGTGTATTTTAATCATCATCAGTCCTATGACTGAGTGTGCTTGAGGTTTTGCTGTGCAACTGACCAGCTCCTTCCACATGGGCCAATATCTGAACTGAATGTTGGAGAGGTATTCGTACTTAGCATATGTAGAGCAATTGGCCATGGTTAAATGTTCATTGGCAGAAATGCCCAACAAATAGAATTGACAAAGTTTGCAATCAACAATGACATGAGAAAGAAAAGAAAATGGAAAAAATAATATTGAGCAAACAATAAATCCAAAGTAAATTGAGGAAAGTGTTGTGGCCTGTTAGGGGCCAGAAAGAAAGAACATGGAAAGAAAAAGTTACGTTGAACAAGTGTATTGAAATAACTAATATATATATATACAAAGTAAGAGTGTTATTATTCAGTAGATAGAAGTGTCTCTCCAAACTGTCAGGTTACACTGCATCGCAACTGTCTCCCAAGTTGTCTCACAGATGGGTATTTATGAAGAAGAAAGAGTTCATTCCTATGTAGGTTGGTCACCATAACAGAAAGCAACAGTAGTAAGTCAAAAAATTTACAAAGTAAGAATGGTGTTAACACACAAAATAGATACAGACAAGCAATTGCAGTGTTCTGACTTCAAGAGAAGAAAGAACAAATTAAGTCGGATAAGACTGAGAAATGGCCTATCTTATTGGCTAGGAAGAAATCCCAGCATGCATCTGTATGCTTTGTCTATAAATTTGTGGAGGGCGTTGTTTTTGCAATTATTCTCTATTGGATTGGAACTAATAGCATGCCTTGAGCAAGAAGACCTGGTGGAGCTCATTCTTCTTCAGACCACAGCAAATCTCCTCTGACATGAAGGTTCGCTTTGGTCATGGACACTTGGCTGTTGATTCTGTTGGTGCTAATTTTTTGGAGAAAAGGTATGAAACCACCTCTTCATGTGTTCTACCCTATTTCCAGATATTTCTGTAGCAATTTTTCATCAATTGCATAACATAAAATCAATGTGGGAGAACTTTGACAACTCTCCTATAAGTTGATTTCCATTCCAGCTAAAAATGAAACCGAGACAAGCAAGCTTTCTTTTTTTTTTATAATAACGAGACAATGAATGAAAGATTGAAAAGCTGGAGGAAATGGACAGGCATAAACATTTGCACTCTTTACAGCAATATAGAGCAAAAGAAAGCTAAAAGAGAGGATTCACCAGAAAATATTGTACATTGTTGTTGACTATGTTTGTTTTAGTTTTAACATGATGCTTGGTACTAAATATGATTAATCTCTAATTAATTAAGCTGCAAATGTTACGAGAGAGATTAATGACAAGAACCTCCATATTAACAGATTTGGCTACCTAACAACAAAATATTGTTCAAGAATGATATATTCTAGAGACTTGGCGTGTCTATTCTAAACTCATCTGAAGTAACTTCTTTCTATAGTTTAATTTGGTGATTAATTGGCCATATAAAAACTGATAAACAAAACATAAAAAAATTTGTCAGGATTATGCTTGATAAAGAAAAATTTTAAAAATTAAAAATTAATTTGAATTTTCTGTAAAGTATATTCAAAATTAACAAAGACTGATAAAAAGATTGGAATGAATAGGGTAGAAAATGTGAAGATACAGGCAAAGGATAAGAGAAGAACATAGGCATGAGATAATGGATAATCTTTTTTTGTCAGAATCCATGGAATTTCTATTTTTCCAGCTTGTATTTATTATTATTATTTATATCTTTTTCTTGTATTTTATCGCATTTGTTGTTGTTACATTATTCCTTGGCTGTTATATTCAATACTAAATAAATAAATAACTTCAAATGTGATTCAGAATTCTATTACATATCTTAAGAACCTGACCCTTTAATGAACAGAGCCTTGATCCCTGAGATAACTGGAGAGCCATGTTCAAATTCCAGTTGGGTTTGTTACATTCATGCAAATACTCTTAAGAAAAGTATGAATCCATCTCTCCCCACCAGCTGTGGGTTAAATAGTAGGACTTATATCTGGTAAAAATCATTGTTATTCTCAAAAAAATATTAATGCAATATTCAGTTGCAAAAATAAAATGGAATTAGGTTTACAATCTAAAAAAAGATAAATTAATCAATCATTGAGATAGCAAAGCTTTCATTGAACAGGATTTCTACTCTGAGACTTTCTGCCACTTTACACTTTCTTTCAGTTTATTTCATACTAAAATGTTGACCATTTTGGAAAAGTAATTCTGTAAATTTTCTTGATACTGTATATGATACATCCCTTAATCTATTGCAGTTGTTATTAGAAAGATCCACAGATTTGCCATGAATAATGTGTTCTTGGGGCATATGGCTATATCACATTGAAACGCTGGTTCTTGTATGATCACCAAAGTTAAGCAATGTCAAGCCTGGTCAGTACCTAGATGGGTGACTTCTTGGGAATAACAAATGCTGTAAATTTTGATGTGCAGTTGGTGTAATGGATAACAGAAATGGAAATCAGAGAGCAGAGTTTTAATTCCAGTCAGGTTCATTATATTCACTTAACATGCAAATACCCTCAGGAAAGCAATGGATTCACTTCTTCTCTCCACTCCACCTATAGGTTAATCAGTAGATCTTCTATCGGTAAATAGTTATTATCTGCAAAAAATTCTTACACTCTACAAATATTTTCTGGCTTTAAATAACCTGCAAACGTTTGATAATACATGCAAAACAAACCAGTGTTGAGTCTTTGGATGTGAGTTGCAATATCATCTAAAGATATATTTTTGTAAGGTTTAATTTAATGGTTAAAGAATTGTACGTGTAATGAAGGACAATGGCCTAGGGGATTAAAGTGTTGGTTTGTGAATTTGATTATATAGTCATTGTGAATTCAGTGTAGAGACTTAAACTCTTTGGAAACAAGGCAAGCATTAACAAGATGAGATATCTATAAACATGGAAAGTGGAAAGAGAACTATTTGTGTAAATTAATTAGATGGTTTAGTTTGAAATTCCCTGAAAATTACCAGAATTGACAGCCCCCTAAAAAAACTAAAATAAAAAGTTCAAAATGCACAACAGCTGAAACATGGTAATAGTAACAACAACGATGAAGATATTAGTTAGAATATAAATAATAATAACTCTTCAATTCAGACGGAAATTAATAATTCAAAGTTGAATTTCCAGCAAAGTATATTCACAATTAAACTTTCTTCTGCAATATGCACCCACAGATTTTCTCTTGTCACTAGTTTCCAAATCTGCTCTCTATTATCTGTTGCCGATAATCTTCAAAGTGAACGTAATATTTGACTCTCAGGACAAAAAACTCAAATCCCTTTTTTTTTTCTTTTTTCAAAAGAAATTCCAGAATAAATGCCGTCCTTGGTATGAAAATAAACTACATTCGCGTCCTGGGTAAGAAAATAAACTACATCCAGCAACAAGGCCTCTCCTCTGGAGGTTTTGATGAGCGTGGAACCACCTCTTAATTGCTGGTGTTCCTAGGTCCACTCTGACCTGGAGTGGTAGCACCTGTTAGGGTCCAAGCTATACGCAAATAGTTAATCCCGAAATTAGGGTAAAAACACTATGAAAGTGTAAAAATATGTTTTACTACCAGAAACACTTTGTAAAAAAATTATTACCAGCAATAAATTTTGAAGGAAAAAAAAAATATTACCAACAATGTTTTTGAAGAAAAAATATTGCCAACTATACATTTTTGGGAAGAAATATTACCAGCAATACATTTTTGAATGATAAATATTACCAGAAATAGATTTTTGACAAAACAAAATATTACCAGCAACAAAAATTTTTTTCAGCATTAAATAACCAATTGTGGTTGATATGCTGTAAAACAAACCAAACCAGAATAAATTCCATGCACTTCTTACGGATTATTGAAAGAAACACTGTACCAATCCTTCATCCATTTGCTTATCAGACATTTTACCTTCTGTCCATTACCTTGTTTTTCTTTTCCAGATTCTTCCAATGTTGGAACAATTTAAAAAAATCACTTTGTGGCTTGGCAATGACTTGAGAGCTTGGGAAACAGCTAAACAGTTTGCAAAGAAACTGAATGAGAAACGCTGTTACCTGATCAGGTAGTAAACCACATCCTTCTTTTTTTTTATCATTTCACCCCAAGCAAGGTAAACAAGCCACTATGACACAAGGGGGTTACTGTGAATGACAGAAACTAAGAAAGCGTTTTTGAGAAGGAAACACAATAAAAAGAACAGGATGACAATATTCCATTTAACTTTTTGAAGATCAGAGTTAACAGGAAAGTAAGAAACAAAAGTGGGAGAAAAGAAACTATTAGAATAGATCTTAACATTTAGCAATTTCCACAGTAAAATGATGAGACCTAACTGCCAATGTAGTACTATGCTTAAATTCATGAAGTCAAGGTACCAAAGGAAAGCTCATCAGAACAATTGCCATGAAAATATTTATAGATACATTTATAGAACTTCATCAAATAACAGAAGCTGCATCACTTCAAGACTTTGAATAGCAGCAACAACTAAAATGGATAGAACACACAACTTGAAGATAAAATAATGACATAATAAAGATGTTGACATTCCACACTGCTAAAAGGTTAGGAAGGAAGCCTCCATCAATAGTAGAAAGAGCAATAAAATTTAGTGGACTTGACAATTCCAAAGGTTTCCTTATAAGGGAACAGATAATCTTACTGTTACCATTATTTATTCATAATTTAACTTTTTTTTTTGCTTACAATTCTTCTATTGAAAAATTCTTTCAGACTAACATCCTCATCTTTGCTAATTTTATTATAACGTTTAGACTCCTCACTGGTCTTCAGTTAAAGTCTGTTGCATTTTGCAGTTTTCAAAAGAAAGCCAAAGAAAAAGTGAATCACTCTAAATATTCAGACAAAAACAAGAATAATGAGTATACTTGTCAGAAAACCTCATCTCAAATATTAAGACAAATGAGGTCTCCTCAATTCTCAATTGAGTTGGCTAGATGTAACTGTAAATTCTATGCTCATAGTTTTTCTCACATTTCCTGCTTGTGGAACTCCCTTCTGGCTCTTTGCTTTCCAGCCAACTTTAATATGTAAAAATTTGAATGCAATATCAATCACTATGTACTGTCGTCTTGATTACTCTTAGCAATGTTTCTGTTTCGAACTCTTCCCCACCCAGTAACCCCTTGTGTCTTAGTGGTTTTATCCCCTTGCATGAGATGAACTCAATTGAAAAAATAAAATCCAGCTCTTTTCTTTCATAATCTTGTGAATTTTTCATCTCCTGTTTGAATATGACTTATACACATATTTTTCATTTTCCCAGACCGTCTACAGAGGCCCCATCACCGATTGATGCCTTACAACAAAAACAGAGTTTGAAGAAAATTCTTGCCTCTGCCCTTCCTGTGGTTCACGATTCAATTGTATCTTTCCAGAAACTCAGGGATGATATATTTTCAGAATTGGCTCAATTAGAACAAGTGGCTGGGATAAAGGTTAGTAGTTAGCTAAAAAAAAAAGGTTTTGTCCTATTTATATTTCAATTAATGTTAATTATTTCGTGCACTTACAAGATCTTAACTGAGCAATGAAACAATAGTACATTTTAGTTTTTGATTAGGTCCTAAATAGTTTCAGTTTTTGTTTATCAACTTGATTCTTTAAAAAATAAACTACAATTACGTTTTCTTCAATTTATAGTCAACATTATTTGAATGCCATTTATAAGGCTGCTCTTTGATACCTTTTTGAGTAAAATTCTACAAGTTTTGATATGAAAACCAGATCCAAGATTTCACATCTGTGAAATCTTACATCTGGTTTTCATTAATTTTTCAGCAATCAAAATTTAATAATCAGTTGGTGCCAAGTTTGGTGAATATGGCATGTGGAGAAAAACTGAGCGAGTTCAAAATTTTATTTTATTTTTCTATTATTTTGACTAAAATTTTATAGACATTTTATACTTGCTATTTTGCAGCATTTTAACATGAATTCCACATGAATTGATGTTTAACCCATACACCATAATCTGTCTTCCATGAAGCACAGCTTTTGAAGTTGATTGGAGAGAATTATCCTTGTCTGCTGCCTTTTCAGTTGAACATTGTTGTATGTTAGTGGACCCTGAATTTATTCTTCACTACCACATGTTTACATTTGATTTCTAGAAATGGAAATTACTGTTGACTCAACCTTGTGTATATATATATATATATATATATATATATATATATATATATATATATATATATATATAAAAAATTAAAATGTGTGTAAAAATTCAGATATAAATAAAAGTGAAAATAACTTAAGCATAAAGTTCTTGAGAGTGCAACTATTGATTCTTGCCAAAATGTTAAACATTTTCTAAATAATTCCTTTCTTAAATGAAACACTCCTTTCCCAAGCCAACATACATGAACATAGATTTTTTTAAATTAAAATAAAATGTTTAACTCAGACATTCTATTATTTAAAATAAATAAATAAATGGAGAAATAATTTATTAAATAAATAAATAATAATTATATTAATAAATAAATAAATATAAACAAATAAGAAAATAAAATTCAACAGCAACATTTACTCAGTTTTGTTTATTAGGCTTTCAATTACAATTTCAATTTTCTTTGTCTTTAATCATGCACGCACGCACACACACACACATATATATATATATATATATATATATATATATATATATAAACAGTTTTGGTTAAATAATTTAGGCATATCATTAGTTTAGGTGTGTAACGATTACTTTTTGTTATGATCTTTTCAAGTTCACAGATTAATTACTTGGTAACTTTAGAAAATTACTACAACAATGCTACCAAAAGGCTTACATTCATTTGGTTGTTCATAGTTCAATAACATAGCATTTAAAGGAACACTCATGTCCACGCTCACAGATTAAACAGATATTAGTTGAAAATACATCTATATTACTTAAAAAAATATTAAGTGAAAACTAAGTCTTTAAGCTCTTTAGATAAAAGAATTAATGCCCAAAATAAATAACGTCAACATTGAGTATAGCAACAAAGTCGTTAAATTTTTATAAAAGAAAAAAAAAATTATATATGTATGAGCAAAAAATGGAAAAGTTACTTTCCTTATACTGGAAAAAAAAAACACATGAACTTTGAAATCTAGAATGCTGTATCAGCAGTAAAAATGAACCATTGAAATGATTTGAATTACAAAAACACATATACATACTCACAGATGACTTAACCCCATGATGATCACAGATAAGATTGAAAGTACTTAGGAAAATAAAAACAATTTGTAAGAAAATTTTGTTATATTTTAATCAATTTTCTAAGGCTGCAAAGAGTGGATCATAATGAAAATTAATCAACATATGTCTAAATTATTTAACTGAACTTGTTTTAATGCAAATATGCTGCCTAAATATACATTATATATATATATATATATATATATATATATATATATATATATATATATATATAGTACTTTATGGGTATAGTTCCTCCTTTTGCTATCTGAAGATTGATGAAGTAGTGGAGTTGTAAGAAAGGAGAAACATTTATTATTATATTTAATATAAGGTTTATATTTTGTGATTTGTATTGTACATTGAGAATGATGATTTGTTTTACTATATGGTCACATTTTGTGCCTTTATTTAATTTGAATATATATATATATATATATGATTTACTCTCCTATCGTTTTTGACGTATGAGTGCCTTTCAGTTCAGTTTTTATGTTTATTGTTTGCAAACAAGTACACATGAGGAACATGCTGAAGGGTTGACCATCATATGGGCGGACATATTATCCAGTGATTTATTATTGGGTCTTAATTCTCTCAGATGGTTGAGACAATTCTTTTCAAAGTTAGTTATGCCACAGTAGCATTTAAATTGTGTATATATATATATATATATATATATATATATATATATATATATATATATATATGGTTTAAAAAATGTCAATTGGAAATAATTCTTTGTTTTTGCCGACGTGTTTTGTCTTCCAACGTTATCAAGACAAGTAATGAAAGGGAAATGTTTTGTTGTCAGCCCCCCCCCATAAAATAAAGACTGTCCTGCTTAAGACTCTTTCTGGATATTGATAACTTCCTTTTAACTAAGAGTTTTTTTTGTTTTCTATGTTGACAATATAATTAAATTTCCCAGAATAAATTATTCTGGGAAATTTAACTTATATATATATAAATTTGGATACTTCACATGCAGTTTATAGTTTATTTCTTTTTAAAAGTGGAAAAGATTTCCTGCCCTCAACAAATTGCTGAAGGGTCATCGGCGTGGTGAGATGACAATCTTTACAGGCATGACTGGGACGGGCAAAACAACTTTTATGAGCGATTATTCTCTGGATCTTTGTATGCAAGGGGTAAGTCAAAAGAAACTATTTTCATTTGATTTTATCATTCTTGGCTAGATGTTTGACAAATATTCTTCACTCAGTCAAATGATTTTTCTCTCATTAAAGAACTACAAATGGGCAAAATGTGAAAAATATGGCTGCCTTAACACTGAACTTTATTGTTCTCTCTGACATGGCTTCTATTTAAATGAATGCTTTCACTTTCTGTATTTTGGTAAAAGACTTGAATCTTAAAAAAAAGGCTTAAACACTCATATTCCATGGTTATAATTTATTACATTGGAATCGTAATTACAATCCAATTCATCAGACCTACAAATTCAAAAAGAAATCATAAAAAATAACTAAAAATAAATTTAGCGAGAGTGTATGTATGAGAGTGTGGGATGAATGTGAGGGGTAAAAGAAAGTTCCAGAGAGGGGTAACAGAGAGAACAGTAAGGCCTAAAAGTGAAGGTGGGGGTTAAAATTTAATAGAGATAAATTCAAAAGAGAAGTCAGTTAAAAGTGTGATACAGATAAAGTTGAATTATTTTCCGATGCATAATTTATTCTCAAATCGCTGACCCAAATTAATTTAAAAACTGACATTGGAAATGGGTTTATACACTATGCACAATAATCTAAACTTAAAAATCAGAAGATGAGAAAGAAGAAGAAAAGAAAAAAAAAACAAAGGGAAAGATGGGGGGGGCAACTCTCTCTCTCTCTCTCTCTCTCTCTCTCTCTATATATATATATATATATATATATATTGAAATGAGAGAAAGAACAGATGGAGTAAAATTCCACTGTAGCATTTTCTTTCAAAATAGTGCTCAATACAAAGTAGAGTAATATCTTATTTTTATTATAAGAGATTATAATAAAAACGTTGAAATTGCTACACAAAAACTTTCATGTTTCAATACTAAGTTTGTACTTCTTCAGGCAATGGTAAGTAACTGGTGATAAAATGATTTTAAGAAAATTCAGAAACAGTGTTACCTCTTTTCCTAAAGTTAAAACAGTGAGGTGGAGAACATAAGGTCAGAATTAAAAATAGACTTATGGGTATGTCTTGATTAACCAATTAAATCTATGCTAAATAGAAAAGTAAGCTCAGAAGGTGGAGGTGGGTGATTTATTTCTTCATGCCATAATAAACAGGAACATAGGCCATCATTGACAATTGCAGAAAATATATAAGTGTCAAATGTATTGTGATTGTAGACAAATATGACATGTTCAATTTTTTGAAAGGGTGTTGAAGGGAGGGGTAGGAGGATAATCAGACATAAAGTTAACAGAGAATTTTTTTTAAATTTTAAATTCAGGAAGCTTCTTAAAAGGGCCTGTAGATAAAATTAAAAATGTGGAACATCCATATAAGATATTAATAATACTAACTGGATGGCAATACATAGCAATATTAAAGCTGAGTTTAAAAAAATAAGGTAATTACTCATAGAGGGTTGACCATTATATACTAATAAATTACGGCTATAAGAAATATGTAATTTAAAAAATTTAAACATGTTTTAAGGTAAAAGATAGACTGTGTTCGCAATATACAGTTAATCCTCTCCTTTGGTTTAATAGGGATTTTTGTCAGCAATTTTGATTATTTCTAATTTTTCACGTATGCATAAGAAGCAAGGTACATTTAAAGATTTACAAGTTCTATTTTTTTTTTTAGTATTTTCCATTTTACTGTAGGGCTTTTATTAACTTCTTTTAAGTTCCAAAAACATTTAGAAAGGGATGTCCTATTTCTGTATGTGTTATTGAGGAAAGATAATATATGTTGGTTCCACCTAGTTTTAAAAGAATTCTTGGTAATCCCGATATAAAATTTTTTAACTGCTGGATTTTTTATGGTAGAAATAGTGCTTAGTTAAACAAGAGTCTGTTTGACATCATTTTTGCAATGGACATTCATTAGAATTTCTACAATTACACTTGTTGGTATTATCTGCATTTGTTGCTTTGGAATGGCAATTATTACACAGGTTTTTGTATTGGTTTAAGATTTTATTATGTTTTTCAATAATTTTTCAAGATTATCATTACAGCTTAGTTTTAGTGTATTTCTATTAAAAATCTTACTAAGTGTATTATTTCTGGAAAAGTGATTCTAAATTAAATGGAGAAACTTCTGCCCTAACTTAGTACTAACCATTTGGTTAAATGTAGGGAGTGGGTACCAAATGATTTTTCTGTTTCTATTTTTATTTGTATGTTCGCTGTTATGTTTTATATATTTGATATCAGGGCATCTATTTTTTAAGGCAGTGTTAAAATCTTTTTTATTCTTGTAAAAGACCTCTTCACTGGAAGAGTTATTGCTAATCTTATATTCTATGGAAGAGGGTATGTGTTTGATTATGGATAGAGGGTTGTTAGAATTTGGGTGGATATATATTGGATTAGCATTTGTTTTCATATAGGGTTTGAATTTCCTTGATGTTACATTAGACCTAGTTAATAATGTATTCCAACCTTACATGAAAACAAATGACTATCCAATATATATCCACCTAAATTCTAACTACCCTCCATCTGTGAGGAGATTGTCCAGCATTCATTGCTATTTAGGAGGTTTGATATTACATAACAATTTAATACTCTTTTCTTTGTCTAAAGATTTTTTTTTTTGTTTCTTGATACTTTGCTTATCCTTTGCAAGGCATAACAAGATATGGGAAATGTTTTCTACAAGTTTGAAACAAATTTTACTGCAACTGCTTTGAAAGGAATTGGAAGAAGACAATATTGTGAGATATATCACAACATTGTCTTTCTCTGATTTGTATAAGTTCCTGTCAAAACAAATGCTGTAAAATTTGTTTGAAACTCACATCCCATAGCAAGGAAGCTTGCTGGGGTGGTTTGAAATGCAAGTTCAAATTTTCTCGCAAATCTGCTTTGTTCATCCAAATTCTAAATTGTTCCTAAAGAATGTATTTGCTTATAAAATTTTGTTTTAGAAGAAAGATACAAAATGAAATATTTTCGTAAAAAAGATGTGAATATATATCAACACCTAAAAGAAATTCTAACTTGTTTAATAATTTCATAATACTGGTTTTCTTTCTTCTTTTTCAGGTGAATACACTCTGGGGAAGCTTTGAAATTCACAATGTCCGTCTTGCCAAAACAATGCTTTTGCAATATTCACAGTGAGTATGATTTGATTTTTACTACTTTTTATTAGCACTCCTGAATTTATACAAAACTATAAACTTTCAAAATATTAAAAACCTTGTCCATCCATCTCAAATTATAAAAGATAAGTATATAAGAATAACTAACATACTGTAATATGTATGTAATGTGTGATCTTGCGTATCGTGTAGCCCTCAAATTTTAACTTATAATAAAAGATTTTATCTTGTATCTTATTTATCATGCTAGTTCCTTTTAGAGAGACCAGAGTCGTTGGATTCACATCCGAGCATTGGGATCGTCATGCACTCTCCTTATTTTCTTTCTCCCCCTATGGTGACGGTGACAGAGATGGCAGTGAAAGCCCAGCCTATTCTGGAAGAGTCTTGAGCAGGAATTACAGAAGAATGTGGGTGGTGGGCGCAGCTGGAAAAGTTAAACCCTACTGACAGTGTATCACAGATCATCTTTTTTTTGACAGTTGGACTTAAAAATCTCAGTCCCCGCCTCGGATGGTGTCCTATGCCAGCAAGGCCAATTTGCAGCAATGGTTTCCCAGATCTCAGGGTCTGTGTCAGGGATGTTTTCAACTGATCCTTGAAGAGTTGTTTTCACTCACTGCATAGCCTCTTGACGCTGGCAAGTTCTCCAAATTGGATGATACTTTTGGAGCCGAGTTGGATCTATTCTAGACATGTGACCCACCCAGCAGTGTAGTCTGTGCATGACCAGTTTTCTATTTCATATTAGAGCTTTCTGTAAATCTCATCATGATTAAATATTGGCAGTTTAGTCCCAAGGTTGTATATTTACTGTTAGATATTTGTCTTCCCTTACACACATGGTTGAGTTAACTGTAGAGATATACTTTTCCTTCAAAGAAGCATTCTAACTGGTTAGATTGAGACACCAGGTTTTGCCTTACTTGCAAGCGTTTATACATTTTTTTTCTTTTATGTACATTCAAACTTATTTATGATTCCTCACCATTTCAACTGTCTGTTATGTGAGTATTTGAAAGTGAGCAATGTTTGATGCAAGTTGTTTTTCACTGATCCTAAAATACGTAAGTGCCAAGCAAATCAAGGAATGGCTCCTACTAGTGTTATCCACACTACCTTTAATGGAAGGCTCTGGATATCATTTGATTATTCTGAGAACAAAAAGAACAGAATAAAACTTAATATAATAATTAACAGAATTTCAATATACAAAGCTATTAATAGATTTCTATTGGTGTTTCACTTGCTTTATTTTCTATCCTATTCTCCTGTGAGTATATTTTGAATGATCTGATTTCAAATCCTGTCCAATATGTTGTGTTTACTTTTGTACAAATGCCATCAGAAAGGCATGTATCCATTTCTTTCTTTTACCTCTGCTATAGTTGAAGTAGAAGAGTAGACTGTGCTTTGCAGCATTGACTGACCACTACTCTGATTTGAAAATAGTGAGGAACACAGCAGGAACCCACTGCATCATCGTTCCCAAGAAATCATGGAAATTCACAGATAATAAAAAGAATCTGTAGAGAGGGATGATCACCTTTATCCTAAAGGAATGTGACCTTAAAAACATGTAAATTACATATTGGACAGTTTATAACAAAATTACTCAGATTGCTGTTGGTCGATACTTTGTGAATGAAACTGTCAAGCATACAGTTAATTTGTGAACCCAATTATTTGTATTCATACTAAGTCAGTTGGGGGTATACTAACTCTAACTTATCAATGCTTTTGAAAATATATTATTACATGTTTGTCAATAGTAAATTGTACCTCGAATTAAAATGGTTAGTTTGGAATTCATTTTTTTTATTATTTCCTAGATATTTGGAATTTTAATCATGAGTTGTGATAATAAACATTCCAAGAAATAGCTTTTAAGAGATGTCTATGAAGGACAGTGATTGTTAACTTCTTGTGAGTAATTTTCAAATGAGTTACTTTTGAGGATTTCTTCTTTTCAGAGTCAACCTTTCCCAAGATCTCAATGTCTTTGATTTTTGGGCAGACAAATTTGAACAGTTACCAATGTATTTTATGACCTTCTTTGGCCAAGAAGACATCAAGTGTGTAATTGAGGTACGAAAAACTGAATTTGTTTATCATTTTTGGATCTTTTTTCTGAAACTAATTCTGAAAGTGTTGGTTATGATAATCAACTTGATCAAAACTCTGGCAACAATTTGTAGAAATCATTCTGAATTTGTTTCTTTTCATCATTACATATTTAAAATGACCTTCATCCCAAAAGTCTGTTCGTTCAGAGTGCATAATTCTGTGTTAAAATCTTTTTCTAGACCAAGTGACATATCACTGATTCGTTACTCTTCCGTTGACATTGATTTTTGACATTGTTCAAATCCACAACATGCTGGGCTGTGTTACCAAAATGAAATGAGGAAGAAGTAGAGAAAACTGGATTGTCAATAAAGACGAAATGGAGACTACTGTTATCAACTTATGAATCAGTTTATAATGACCTTCATCTTGAAAATGTGTTCATTTTTTTTGTTGTTTTTTTTTTTTCTTTCAAACATTTCAGTAGATTATTGAACTCTTTTCCATCGTTAAACACAAGGCCAGGTGACTTGAGGTGGTATATTAAAATATATATAAAAATATTAAGTTTATCAATCTTCACTTGACATCAATTTCTGACAGAAAAATAAAATATGGCTTCTTGACATTGTTCAAAGCTGCAACATTCTGGGCTGCATTGTCAAATGGAAAAATGAGGAAACAGAGACCAGTTTGTGAGTGAAGATGAAGCAAAGACTGTTGTTTTTTGACTTGTGTGTTAGTTTATTAACTCCTAGTATACTTCAAGCCATCAAAGTGTCCAACGGAGATATCTGACCAATTATCAATTCCCTAAGTCTTGCAGAGGCAATCTTTCTCGCCAGCAACTTATACTGAACACACTATGACAACAAATGTGGTTGATAACAATTGTTCCCCAAGTAGAATATATAAAGATTTTATAAAACAGCTCCTGAAGAAGGATTGTCATTGGCTCTGAAACACTTACCTGATGGAGGAGAGATCTTATCAACCTATAATTACTTTAGTTCACTTTAGCAAAAGGCTACAGCATGTCCCTTTCTGAACTGACCAAATGTTTCTGGGTTTCATTTTATGGGGAAATACCTGACATAAAATAATTATTTGGTTTATCCTTATCTAATAAAGGGAACATTAAAAATTTATCTACCTTGTTTTTGTGTAATTAAATATTTTTCACAGAACTAAATTTTTAATGGTTTTAAGATAAAACAACATTATTTATTAACATCAAACTCTTTCAGCCATTACACTTTTTGCTAAACCATAACTTTTCTTTATTCGTAGGTTACCTAGATTGAAGGGCCCATGGCCAAAATGGTGGAATAACAATAAAGATGAGAACAAGTGGAAATAGTCAATGTTTTTAATAAGCATTCAAATAATTCAAAATGATGTAATTGACTGTTGTTGGTAGAAGATTAACCTAAAGCTATATTCCTCAGTCTCTCTTTGGATTTATCAAATTTCCTGGAAATAAAAAGATGATTTTGTGAAATGTGAAAAATATACTCCTTACCCTTGTTACTTCAAAACTGCCATACTCAGCCATAGATATGGATAATGATATGCGTCCCTCGTTAGCCTTATATTGTGCGATATTTTAGTAATAGAAAAAAAATCAAACCGTAAATGGTGCCAAAAGGATAAAGTGTAAAATTACTGTTTGTATCTGTCATCTGTTTAGGATGTAAGATGAGGTGGTGGGGCAGCATACTGTTGTGCATTGCATAAAATATATTCTTTTCCAAATTGGCACAAGTATAAGAAAAAAGAAAAAAAATGGTAAACATTATTTGTAAATTGTTTTCCCTGCAGATCCACATGTCTACAGAACGTTTTTTGTCAGATGAGCACTAAAAAGTCTGATAATTTATTTTTGTAACCAAAAAACTAAAATGACAAGACAGTTCCATAACTGGAAATTCTTGTTCTCAGTCACATATGTAGCAGCCATTTTGAATATCTAACAACTGAATATTACTTAATTTGCATAATTGATAGTTGGCTTCTTAAAGGGTAAATCAAAAGTGTTTACAAAATGTATAGCTTTTAATGTTTCCTTTTGACTAATTTCAAGAATTTATTAATATATATTATACTTAGCATATTCTTACATAAGGTTAGTAATGTAAGATGCCTTGTGAGGATCAAATTCACCACAAGAGTAATAATGGTCTACAAAACTGGTTGGTTGGTTTATTTTTCTTTCCTAGTAAGAAACTCTTTTTTAACTTTATATAAAAATGCTCAATTTTGCTTTACAGAAAATTAATGGTGATGCGATTTTCAGATATACAAGGACTCAAAAACTGAAACTGATTGGTTAATATTGAATGTTAATGAGAATATTTGCTCTTTTCTTTATATATGGCATTCATTAACCGAGCAGCCTACTTTGGTTGTAATTTATAAAACCTTTCTCTTAAAAGCAATTTTTCAGGAAAATAGTTTTCTCAAGTCCAGTTACTAATATTGCTCTTTCCAGTATTGATGAGGGTTTCCTTTCTCATCTTTGGCATAAAGTCATGTGGACCGTCATCATCTTCATTATTTTCTCTTTGAATTATATGTGCCATTCACTATAGTTGTTGCTACTGTTATTTTCATAGAACATGTTTTTATTTTTTTGTTTTTTTTCAAATTTATTTCCAATATTTCATCTCCATGTAAAATGTATATTTCGTAGCTAAAATAAAGCAGATTTTTTTATTTTTTATTTCTTTTTGCACTGATTCGTAAAAAACTAATGATAGGTGAGAGCATTGTTTTATTTGTCATATTTGTTTTATTTTCATTGCAGACAATGTCTCATGCCGTGTATATGTATGATATTGCACATGTGATAGTTGACAATATCCAATTTATGATGGGCTTGGAAGCAGGAAGAGTTGATAGGTTCTTCCACCAAGATAAAATTATTGCTGCCTTTCGAAACTTTGCCACAACCATGAATTGTCATGTGACCTTGGTCATCCATCCACGCAAAGTTAGTGCCAATAATATTTTCTATTATTATTCCACAAATCATTTCCCCTCCTTATTATTTTTATCTTTGATTTTCAGCTGTTATTCAAACCAGCACCAGATGAGTAGATAATGGTTAGAAGTTCAGAATTTGCAGGCTGAGTTCAAGTTCTTGTCTAGATTGTTGTGTTTTCTTCACACTAATGCCTTTTGGAAAAGCCATGAATTCATTACTTTTCTCATTCCTTAGCTATCAGTTATATAAGTGGGCAGATTGGGCTTTCTAGCTTTAAGAGAGCAGACAGTCTATAGACCAGTGTTTCTCAATCGGTGCACCCTGCCTCACTAATGCACCCTGAAAGGTAGCCAGATGCACCCCAAGTTAACAGAGGAGTAATTTATTCATTATTTTAATATTAACAAAACATCATTATTTTTAAAAAGCTACAAACACCAAGCAAATGGCTTCCATGTCTAAGTCAAGTCAGCCATTTGATATTTTAAACTGGATGCTAAATTCTTTAATCTTTAAGGAATGTTCTCCACTTCTTTCCCTTTTGCCTTCCTTGATGGAATTTAAATCATTTATTATCAGTCTCTCTAAAAAGAAAAATAGATTCTTCACAAAACCATTTCAATGAAAACTCTACCACTTAAATAGACAATATAATGTCTTCAAAATAAATACATATTTCAAAAGACTTCTTTGTTATTTTCATGTCATAACTTATTTTTCCTTATTAAAATTTAAAGTGCACCCCAGACTTAGTTATTCTACAAGTGTGTCCTGAATTAAAAATGTTTGAGAAACACTGCTATAGATGGACTACACTGAATTTAAATATTTGGAGATGGTAAGGAGAAACCACTCCAGAAACTTTACCCATGAAGTAATGATAAATCACAGATAATAAAGGAAAGCTATTGATGGAAAGTAACAATTGTCTGTGTCATGAAGTAATACATTAAGAAAAAAAATAGTAGACATATATCTTTACGTTTTGTAACCCAGTGCTGAATAGATCAACAATTTTAATTTGTGAAAATTCTCGTAAGAAACATTTTATATTTTGCCTTAATGTTCTGTTCTAATGATTTTTGCATGATCCCCAAATGCTTCAGAACAAATTGCATTTAAAATTTTCCAGCATCTTAATTTCTTTCCTTTTTCAGGATAAAGAAGGAGATTTGTTGACTGTATCATCCATATTTGGTAGCGCCAAAGCCACCCAAGAAGCAGATAATGTTCTCATTCTGCAAGACAAATACCTTGTATCACATCGGGCCAAAAGATTTATTCAGGTAAATTTCATATTTCTTCCTGCTGTTGTAAATTTTTAATTTCCTTTCTAGTTTTATTATGAAATGTGGAAATTATTGCAAACACAGAAATGAAACAAGAACCCCCCCCCTACCAAAGGTTAAGCAATTTCAAGAAGAAGGACTGCATGGTTATTAGCCAAAGAAACAGCCCAACATGCAAATTACAACACACAGATAAGAGAAGAAATGAGCAATGGAATTTGATCTAAAGATCGTATTGAAGTGAGAAATTAAAATTACCATGCAGTATTGATCCCCATGTTTCTACTGCTTTTATATATATATATATATATATATTTGATTTGTATAAAGGTAAAAGACAATAGGAAAACTGTATTATTATCCGACATGTTTCATCCAATGTGGACTTTTTGAAGGCAAAAACGAAACAAATTTTTTATAAACAAAGTAATTATTAACGGCAAACAAAATATCCTTAGCAGCTAGAAGAATTTATAAAAATGCTGTTGTATTCATACTGACAATAGCATTTTTCCTCATTCTTCTAGAATGAGGAGTTATTTTCTATAGTTGGATAAATGTTCTCATTTTTTGTTGTTAATATTACAATGTTCTGTTGCTTCAAGTCTCTATTCTTTTCTTTGTTTCTAACAAAACTTTCCCGTTTCTTAATACATTGCTTGTCTTTTGGAAGACATATTTTGCTATCTCAATTGTCCTTCCAATTTCTATGCCGCCATTTCCATCCTCTGTTGAAATACGTCTTAGATATATTTGTCTAATTTTGGTTTCTTCCATTTGTAATTCTAATTTTGGGTTGTTTCATTTACTGGCAACCGTACATTCTATCTTTTTACAATTGCTGTTTAGTCCTTTCTTTATCACATTCATTTACTACCATCTGTAGGAGTTACTGTAGTTTCCTTTCTATGTCTGCTAACATTAATGTGTCTTCTACATATCTAATGTTCTTTTAAATTTACCTGGATTGACAGACACCTGATAAAGGTTGGAGTGTACAATGGCTGAAACGTGATAAAAAAAATTAGAACATTATTCCGAATGTAAATATTGAAATAACTTGGTTGTTAATCAAATATATTTCCTTCAGATATGGTTGATGTAAATTTTATCTTTTAAAGCAATAAAATCTATATATAATAAATGCAAATGTCAGTGTGTCACACATTTCCATTTTCCTTCTAAAGACCATAGTCCAACATATTATACCATTTTGGAATCAGGCTGATTTCATGATCAAATTAAAAACATTTGGGGCCAGATCCAGACCTGCAATCCTGAAATTTTGGATTCCCAAAATTCATTGCTGGGATTGTTTTCGCAATATTTTTTTTTTTTTTTTTTTTTACATGTGATTTTTTGTGACAAAATGTTTTTGTATGATAACAATTTTTATAACATGGTAACAATCAAAATTAATTGTGAAATCCAGTAAAAGTCACTCAAGATATAAAAATATTTTTTTGTAGAGAAAGTAAGGATCTGCATGCATCAAATTGTCTTTAAATTAAGTGGCAGCAGAAAAATTATTGTTGAACTTTTAAGCTTAATTATTAATGCCATATTTAAATACAGCAACCAATTTTGAGTTCTTCTGTAGTTTGTTGCCTATTGCATTTACTTCCCCCTACCTACTCTGATTAAGGGCCAATCAAGAGTCCTCTGCAGGAGCTAGCTTAAATGCTACCTGATAGGGCAGATATTTACTATTTAATTAATTTTCAGTTTTATTTCTTTTTGACTAGGTTGTGAAGAACCGTTTTGATGGTGAACTTGGAATAATGCCATTACGTTTCAATAAAGATACTTCAAGTTACGTTCCTCAAGACACAAAAAAGAGTGCTCTCAAATCTAAGCAGTCAAAAACTATAAACAAAGAGGAGGATGAAAAGGAGGATGTCAAAGAAGAAATAAGAGGAAGAGAAGATGATGACAATGATGATGAAGACAATCCATCCAAGACAGGAAATTAATTATTTATTTTGTCAAACATAAATATATATATATATCATGTACATCAATACAAAATAAAAACTCTGGGTTAATATCAAATTGCGTGCAATGGAAATTACTTTTTAGGACAGACAAAGCAATGCTTTCTCATACAAAAATGGCAGATATTTTATTGTAGAAAAGTTGAAGCATTTTTGGTTTGGTTAAATTTTTTTTTTTTTTTTTTTTTTTTTTTTTTTTTTTGCTGTAACCATTTTTTTTTTTTTCCTACAAATTTATTTTTGAAAACATTTTTCAAAGACTATTTCCTAATTTATTAAATTATTATTTTTTGTATTTTTAAAAAAAAATTAATTTAATATTTTGAGTCTTAGTTTTTCTGTTATTGAAATATTTTTTAATTCTTTCTTTTTCTATTATTTATTTTATTCTAATCAAAAACTACATTTCATTTTTCATTTGGTCTGAGATTTCTTCATTAGTTCCCTTTCTTCTATTTTTTTTTTTTTCTATTCATTTTACTTTTCAAATTCGTTCTATTTTGGCATTTTTAATTTCTCATCATCCATCCTCATTCAGTCATCTCGTGTTTTAACTTGTGCTGGAGTTGTACACAGCTACCAGAAGTAATCATTTGTTTTTTTTTAATTTTTTTACCTGTTGCAAAAGAATAAGCACTCCAGACAACAAATTAATTTTTTTTTCTTTAATTACATAAATTTAATGTGGTGCATAGAATTTACTATGTGAATTAATTGCCATACAGAAGACAAAATAAAATGTGCTCATGTTTTCTTAAGATTTAAAAAAAAAAAAAAAATTTTTTTTAAATTTATCATCTGGAGTGCTTAGTTGATAGCAGTGTATGAAAAATCACTACAAATTAATAGTTAAAAAAAAAAAATTGTTTTTAAATTTTAAGAAAGAGCATGTTTTATTTTGACTTTCATGGGGGGGATCAGTTTCTATTGAATTTATGGAGCAAACTAGACCCCCCTATTAACTTTGATAGAATTTCATTAAGACAATATATATATATATATATATATATATATATATATATAATCTTAAAGTAATAAGAAAGAACTGTCAAATTTATAATCCGGTGTTCTTAGCAGTTATTTTTATTTGTAAAAAAACAGTGGTCAATACAAACAGTAGAGCAAAATATAACAATTATTTCCTTTTTAAAAATATGATTCCATCAGGACAAAGAAAATTTCCATGTTTCAAAACTAAAACTAAGTTTAGAAATTATAAAAATTAAACTTAAAATCTATAGTATCGTTCCATTGTCGAGCGATGGAACAAGACTATGAATTTTAAGTTTGATTTTTATAATTAAATTTATAATTTTAATTTCAATTTTGAAACATGGAAATTTTCTATGTCATGAGGGAATCATATTTTTAAAAAGAAAATAATAATAATAATAATATATTCATGGTTCAGAATGCTTAGTCAATAGTAATATGGGGGAAAAAATAATATTAAAAAATGATAAATTTTGGTCACAGTACCTATCGTACAACTTCACCTGTCTTTTCATTCCTTTCTTTCAAACTAGAAAATTTGAAATTTTTTCTGAATATTCATTAACTATAATTCACATTTTTATAAATTGTCAGAATGTTATCATTATTTCTACTTATGTTCCCTACATTGGGCATTATCATCAAATGGGAGCTTATGGTCACATCACGTTGAAACACCAATTCCTGTACAATCACAGAAGTTAAGCAATGTCGAGCTTGATCAGTACCTTAATGGGTAACTGCTTGGGAATATCAGGTGCTGTAAGATTGGATGTGCAGGTGGTGTAACGAATAATGGCTCAGAATTGCTAATTAGAGAGTTCCAATTCTAGCTGTGTTTGTTATATTCTCTTATATGCAAATAACATTGAAGCCACTTCTTCTTCCCCAGCTAGGGATTAATTATTAAGACATATTTATCTCACAAAACAAAATAAAATTGCATGTAAAATATTTAGAGTTTAAAAATAAATAACCCAGAGACGTTGATATGTCACTAAACAAAATCAATCAATGAACAAACCAACCAATCCATCAAATGTCCCATGATTATCAAGTTTATTCAAAATCTCATGGGCTTTCCCCACTATTTTTCTTATTACTTTCTACATTTCAGAGGTGTGCAGGATGTAATTACATTTACAAGAAAGGATAAAAAATAATTATGATTTAATTACATTTAAATATTAGGATGTTTGGAAATATGAAATTGTAAGTTAATCTTTTTTAAATATTATTTATCAAATCTGTTTGTCCTTGGTATGACGATAAACTATGTCCAGCAGCAATCCTCTAATCAGAAGGTTTTGAGGAGCCTGGAACCACCTCTTAATTGCTGGTGTTCCCAGGTTCACCCTGATCCGGGATGGTAGCACATGTTAAGGTCCCAGCTATGGGCAAATAGTCAACACCCAAATTTGTGTAAAAATAGGTTTTAATACCAGAAATACTTTGTAATAAAAAAAATTTTTACCAGCAATAATTTTTGAAGGAAAAATTATTATCAGAAAAAAAAAAGAAAATACCAGCAATACAAACAGTTATACATTCTTTGAACAAAAACATATTACCAGCAATAAAAATTTTGTTGGCATTAAATAACCCATTGAGGTTGATATGCCGTAAAACCAAACCAAACCATTATCAAATCTGTAATTAACATCATTTCAATAAGGGTAGTAAATTAAAGAAATCTGAATTTTTCGACAGAAAAGTTTGAAAGACAACTTTTATGTTTCTGAGTATTCTGCCACATATGAAATGTTTTGGTGATTGAGAAAAATTTGGTGAGTATAAAGAACCTCTCACACAAATAATCTTATTCTTTCTTGTGTTTGTTGAGCTTATGGCCATATCATGTTATAGTATGATCACAGGAGTTAAGCATGTTGAGCCTGGTCAGTGCATAGAGGGGTGACCACTTGGGAATACCTGGTGCTGTAAGTGTCAATTTGTAGCTAGTGTAATGGCTCAGAACTGGAAATCAGAAAGCCAAGTTCCAATTTCAATTGGGTTTGTTATATTCACTTGAGTGCAAATACTCTTATGAAAGGTATGCATCCAGCTCTTCTGCCCCTAACTAATTAATAGGATCAATTAATTGTATCAATAAATCATTCTTACAGTCTAAAACTATTTTCTGGCTTTAAATAACCTGCAAAAGGTTGATAAGCTGTAAAAATATATCAACCCATGTTGGGATTGTTTTTCTAGAGTGTACACTTGCAATGTCATATTGAACAATAACATCTTTTCTGTTTACCAAAACTGAATATATCAATATGATGCATCATTTTTTCAGTCAAGTTACAGGCAACAACCATCTGTATTTCATGCTGCATCAGCACATAATGGATCATCATTCATATTCAACTGAATACAAAGTGATAACCACCATCTGACATGTAAAACCAATTTTTTATCACCTGTAAAAATGATACAAAAATGAAAGCTTAGAATTAGTTGGTTAAAATGTGGCTGCAGATGTCAGAATGTAGTATTCAGTTCATTGATGCAGATCAAATTCAATAGTTTAAAAGTTCTTCATTAAGGGTTAGCAGCCTTCTATAGCAAGGTTTGTTGAATATATTTCAATCAGCATTTTCAAAGCTTTTAAACTACAGGTAGCATGTACAATTTAAACTACAGGTAACATATACAAAGCCTTCACTGCATCTATATTGTTCCAGAATGCAGACGATGGGCAGCAATTAGTCAGAATAATTTGTAGGTATGGTATTCTGAGAATTATGAATTGTGTTTGAGAGCTGCAGGTTCGATATGCTCAGGCCTCACATAATGGGATGGTAACCTAAAAAGCAGCCATGTGTTCCCCTGAAATTCCTCCTGTTCATCATGGAATTGATGCTACCACATTTGTCACTTTCATATTTATGAAATATAGAAGGAAAAAGAAACCAAATTCTGTGAGAATTGGTCAGAAGCACATGCAAAAAAAAAAACTATACATAAGTCCAATGGGCAAAATATTGGTACATAGTCCAATAGGGTAATCACTTCCACAAGTGTTGACTATCACCGTTCCTCAATCTCAGGTAATGAACTCCTTTTGCCAAAAACAGACTCTTGTTTGAATAGGGTGCTTTTATGCACCTGACCAGCCATCACTCAGCCAATGAGCATCCAGGACCAGTCAATAAAAATAGCTACAAGCGACACCACCACTTCTGTCTATATTTCTGAGATGAGGTATTATGTACACTATTTACATTATTCAGACTATTGTCCTCATCTTTGTTGCCATATTTATTACAATGTTTCCACTGTTGTATTCTCCGGCCTTCTTCAGGTGGTTGGAATATCAAACTGAACCCTTTATTTCACTCACTGGAGTAGACTGTTCTAGTTCCACGTGCTATGTTTAATTGATATCAGTTATCTCCTCAAGGACACATGGCACAGTGGATAAAGGCATTAGTTAGATCCAGTGACAGGACCCAAAGAGTATGAGTTCAATACCCGGTTAAGGCAGTGGAGAACTTGGAGATGGGAATTAACAGGAGATAACTGACAACTGATGTCCGAATAATGTAAAGAGTGTACCACCACTTCTGTCTACATGAAGTGCTGCCCAATTAACCTCCAGTCCCAAGCTCACCAATTCGCCGTCTCCACACTCCATTGCAAAATATACATGTAACTCTGGCACCTTTGGGTTGCTGAAGTAAGTCTCAGCTACACAACTTTCATTGATATAACTTATGAAGTAGTGTTAAGGTCAAAGGGTTTGAAGCCAGTGGCATCCCAGAATGCAACAGTATGCACTGCACAGATGTTTTTAGATGCCTCTGCAGCAGTAAAACCTTTTCGTTATTCATACACTAAGCAATGAGGAATATACAGCTTTTTAAATTTATAATCCTCCCTTGTAAAATAAATGACACTTGAATAGAAAAGATCGCCAACTAATTCTGGACATAGTTTTCTAACATTATTTCTGTTTGGTTTGGTTAATACTTAATTCATCACTGCAAAATACATAACTACTTCCTAAATACTCTAATATATTTTATTTAGCTTCATTCTTTTATTTAAAAACAAACTCTTATATTCTTTCATTTTAATCTCCCCGCCAAATACCTTGTTATCTTTCCACCATTTTATTTATTGCTCATCTCAGCATACTCTTACCATGTTGTGTTTTTTTTTCTTGTTTTTTTTTTTCATTTCATTTAAAACCAAAATTTACCGCCTGCCACCGTAATGAGGGGATACTTGTTTTTGAACTCACCCTGCTTAATATCTGCTATCTTCTTTTTCTTTCTTTAACAACCCTTTTCTCATTTTGAAACCTGAAACTTCACATGCATACAGCACATCAGTATATCTTCATGGTAGTTAGCCATGTTTGGTTTTGTTTTATTTTTTGTAGCTTATGGAAATTTAGATGTAAGACTTCAGTATTATTAGACTGACTCTGCCTTCAAAATAGAAACTATAAAATCAAATTCAAAGAAAGAACAAATTTTATTTGTTTTCATATCAAATTAATTTTTTAATATTTTATATATTATTAAATATCCTTTTTTTATACAAAAATAAAAAATACGTTCAAATCTGTGTTTTGGTTTCTGTGTTTGATTTTAAAACTATGTTCGTAGTGTCTTGACCTACATGTGATAATTCCTGGGATATGTGTGTTAAAAATAAGTTACAGTGTGTCAGTCATTATAAAGAAGTAAATGTCAGAGGGGCAAAAACTGAACAGAATTTGAAAATTGGATTGTTTCCTTACACATTTCTTCTGGTTGTGCAATGACACATCTGAAAAATACACTTTATTAACTTAATTTATGTAGTAGTACTTGCCCCGTTTAAATGCATCAAATTACAGGTTGGTGATTTGGAGAGAGTAATATTTGGATGATAATTGTTGAATTTTTCAGGAGAGTGTCTTGAATGGTTGGGAAGAAAATTAAAAAATTGTCAGAGAGCCACTCAAGGTAAAGGGTTAAATTGAAGAGACGCAGCTTATGTAGATATATGAAAAAGATAAGGGTTAATCCTAGATTTGAACAGGTTAAGATTGTAGTGATCAAGGAAGCAACCTCTTGTAAGTCGGTTCTACAAGGCAGTGGTTCCTGCATAGAAGCTGCCTGAGTGGAACTTACATATTATCAGGGGAATACAAAGGGAATGAAAATGGTTCGCTACAACGTGTGTGACACGTCGGGTCTTCGCTGTGAAGCTTGGGACTGGTGGAACTAAGGAATGTATTTCATCTGAACACTTTCCATGGAAATAGCGATAGAGTAGCAAGAGGATTGAGACGTCTCGTCTGTGAGAAAATTGTTGCAAAGTGGAAAATAATTCGTCACACACAAAGACGCGGAGATGCTTTTGGATTCTATTTAGTGGAAAATCAAGACTGGACAATTCCTGTCCGTATATAGCAGCCGTACTCTATTTTCAGCCTGACCTGGTTCATGCAAAGTTTGAGGATTGAAGTTCTTGCTGGAGTAGTACAAGAAACGGCAATTTTTCCTGTATCTTTAGCAATGGATCATATGTATGAGTTCTACTTGAGGTCTGGGCTGCGTTTAAGTCCCAATAAGCGCTCAAAGCATCCGTTCATTGCGATTAAAGTCCTGTCCCCGATAAGCGATGGTGGAAGGTTACTAGTTTGGTTTTTGAGGCATTGGATGTGACCAGACAGTTTTCTTCCGACAGAGCAGTTAGAGTTAGATCAAAGGAAAAATCAGTTCCAATGCTGATGAACTTTATTCAGGCAAGTGTAGAGATTTT